GCCCGCACCGGGGGCCCCCGGGAGCCCCTCGCTGCCGCCCCGAGACGGTGGCCGAGCGGGCGGGCGCCTAATTCTCCCGGAAGGGTTATTCTCTCGTTCCATTCTTATTTTGGGGGGAGCCAGCGAGACAGCTCCTTTTGGGGCGCGCTGGTAAGGTGGGAGGGGGTGGGGGCTGGACGATTTGATTCTCTCGCGTGTGTGTAGAGCGGCCGCCGCCGCCGCGGCGGAGACGACAACAACTTGCTCGATTTCAGGTTGGGTTAACGGCATGGAGAACAGTCACCCCCCCCACCACCACCACCAGCAGCCCCCGCCGCAGCCCGGCCCTTCGGGCGAGAGGAGGAACCACCATTGGAGAAGTTACAAGTTGATGATTGACCCGGCTCTGAAGAAGGGGCATCATAAACTGTACCGCTACGATGGGCAGCATTTCAGCCTGGCGGTGAGTAGCCGGCGCGCCGCCCCGCCGCCCCCACCCACCCACCCGGCCCGGCCCCGGGAGCGGGGTCCGAGCGGCCCGGGGCCCCCTCCCGACCGCCGGGCCAACTGTCAGCCGGAGTTTGACAAGTGCCTGGAGAAGGGGGGTCTGCCCCGGCCCCGGGAGCGGGACCAGCCCTCCTATTCCGCCCCCCGTTCCTCCCCGCAGATGTCCAGCAACCGCCCGGTGGACATCGTCGAAGATCCCCGGGTCGTCGGGATCTGGACCAAAAACAAGGAGCTGGAGCTGTCGGTGCCCAAATTCAAGGCAGGACCCCTCCCCCTGCCCCGCGCTCGCCCCCCCTCCCCGCGCCGCGAGTTCGAAAATAACGCCAGTCCTGGCCGAACCCAGCCGGATTCTGAGTTCCCGCCGTCCGGGCCGGGAAGTTTTGGCGGGGCCGGGGGGACGGCTGCGAGAGGGTGTCCCCTCTGGGCTGCTGTAAACACTCGGTGAAACTAAGCAGGGCGCTGATACAGTGTCCTGTCCGCCCAGCTGGGGGCTCCGGGTCCCCACCTGCCTCCTGCCAGCCCGGGGACTCAGCCCCGGGACCCGCCCCCCTTCCCAGCCTTGTGGCTTTAGGGGGACAGCTTCCTAGCCCCAGGGGTCGCCCCTGACCCGGCAGCAGGGAGAGGAGGCCAGAATGGGGGGTGGGGAAAGAGAAACTGTTTCTTTTTCCCCTTTCCTTTCGAACCCAGAGGACTTCCACGTTCCAAACGATTTAATCCTCCGCTTCCCGGGCCCGCCCGCCTGCATTTTTTTTTTCCCCCAAAATTTTTTTTATTTTTTCCCCTTCATTGTTTTCAACGGGCAGGCGAGTGGGGAATGTCGTGTTTTCCCTTCGGTTTCAATGTTCTCCAAACTCCCTTCCCCCTCGTCCCCTGCCAGATCGATGAGTTCTATGTGGGCCCGGTGCCTCCGAAGCAGGTGACATTTGCCAAGCTGAATGATAACATCCGCGAAAACTTCCTGAGGGACATGTGCAAGAAGTATGGGGAGGTGGAGGAGGTGGAGATTTTGTACAACCCCAAGACCAAGAAGCACTTGGGCATTGCCAAGGTGGTCTTTGCCACGGTCAGGGGAGCCAAGGAGGCGGTTCAGCACCTGCACAGCACTTCTGTCATGGGCAATATCATCCACGTGGAGCTGGACACCAAAGGTGAGTTGGAGGCCGGCTGCGGACTGCCCACTGCCGAGGAGCCGCGGGACCTGTCCGTGTGACCCTTTTCCCTCCCAAAGCCCCTCCTGCAGTGTTGGGGACCCCCTGACTTTTCCTTGGGGGCCCCCTACAATTGTATTTTTTCCCCCTCCTGAGGGTAGAGTCACGTGGAGCTAAATGTGTTGTCTGTTGCTAGGAGACAAGCTATAATTTACCAAATGTGCCAGTCCTTGGCCACTGCACCCCCAGGGACCACCCGGAGGCTTCCCCACTGCTGACACCCCCGTGGGCCCCTCTCCGAGCCCTGGTGGCCTGGGTTGAGACAGTCCCCAGTGTTGCTAACTGTGTTAGGGGAGGAGGCAGGGTTTGTTTATTTGTGGGGGGCTGAAGGAGAGCCACCAGGATGCCTTTAAATACATAAAGAGTAGGTCCCTGGACTAAAAAGAGAGTCCTCTAAGGATCCAGGGTCCCTTTCCCCTTGGAAGTGGGAACCAATCTGGGCCCAGAGTGTGGTTTCATTGATCATGTTCCATAGAGTGGGGAGGGCTGCTCTGGGTGCTCAAGGGTTGACACTGTGTCTTCCCTCCTCTCTCTTAAAGAGACAGCACCACCTCCCATGCACCGGAATCTCACTCTGTACTCACTCTGAGTGGCTGCCGGGAGAATCAGGGAGAGCTGGGCTGGGGAGGCCATACCTCCCACCCTCAGGGTCCTGGGAGGCTCCTCCTGGACGCTGGCTGGAGGGGCTTGAAGAACTCTAGGGCATCCCCCGAAGTTTGCCTGTGGCTTCTCTAGGGAAGTTCCCACTGATAGAGAAGAAGGTGCCAGGTGCTCTGAGGACCAGCCAGCCCTGTGACTGGGCAGACACTGTTGGGTCCAAAGCTCCTGGGGGTCCCCTGGGAGGGCTTAGGTGGGGGGCTTCCAGGGGTTTTGTGAGCATGGGGTTTAGGGGCACCCAGGGCACACCAAACCCCAGACAGGAAAATCTAAACCTTTCTTTTTTTGTCTTTAATAATGAGTACATGTTGACTGAGTCTCTTAAGACCTTTCTGGGGGTTGTGGAAGGAAGCTGGTCCAGGGCTGGCAAGGTTATCCCACAAACTCTTGCCAAGCCCGTCGCTAATTCCGAGTCTCCTTCAGGGTACAATCCAGGTTCCTGCCCAGGCCACAGCCCCCTGACCCCCCTTCTCTAGCTTCTCAATCTCTGTTGGGGGGGAGTATGGACCCTTTCAAATCTACATATCCCTTGGGTGGCTGCTGTCAGCTCTCACCAAAATTTCATTTCTGCAAAAAAAACAGGGGAGCCCTCAGAGGCTGCCAACTAAGTTTGTATTTCAAGAAAGAGACCGGTAAAGTGTAAAGAGTAGCTCAAGGAATGCGTCTCCTTTGCATATGTAAGCAGCTGCCTCAGAGGGCTCTATAAATATCGATAATCTGGGGCCCCCTGGTCTGCAGAGGCTTCTCTCTGCTGGGGGGAGGAGGGCTACCAGACAGGGCTCCGTGGGACCGGCAGAGCAGGGGATCCTGGTCAGAGGAGGAGGCACATGGAGTTCACAGGAACGTGGTGCTAGAGAGTGTTTTACAAACTCTGCTGGTCCCCTGGCTCTGGAGAGTTAACAACAAGCTGTCACCTCTGTGTCACCAGTCTCCTCTCCACTTGCTACAGGGCCCTGGCTATTAAGTGGGAAGGCGAGAGGACAGGGAAGACCTGACTCTTTTTTTGGGTGCCACGGCCCAGGTGACAGGAAGGGGCTTTGTGTTGGAGGTGGCCTTTCTGTATTTGGGGGAGTCCCAGCCCCACGAGGCATTAAATTCTGAATCTCGGGATCAGACAAATCATACAGTTGAGCAGCTTTGTTGAACAGATGAGACTCCTGAGTAAGGTGCAAAGAGATGGGGAACTGGTCGGGGTCACACAGTTTCCCCAGGCTTGGGGTCTCAGGGACCCACAGGGATGCCAACCTGTGGGGGCCGCCCCGTTCTGGAGCCTCACCGAGTCCTCCCTCCTTCCCTTTCCACAGGGGAAACCCGCATGCGGTTCTACGAACTGCTGGTCACGGGCCGATACACACCCCAGACCCTCCCGGTGGGCGAGCTGGACGCTGTCTCTCCCATCGTGAATGAGACCTTGCAGGTGGGTTTATGGCTGTCAGTCCTTCCCCCGCCCTCCCCCCCCCCATCTCCAGCTTTGGACACCAGGGCCTAGGAGGGAAAGGAGCCCGGCCACACCCACCACAGATTCCAGTATGGTCTACAAGCCCAGTTTGCCCAAGCTCTCCTCCAGCGTGGCCCCCAGCCCGCCCCCTGCACTGGCTGGAATTCCCACAAGACCCAGAGTCCACCTGGGGCCTGCTTTGCACATTGATGCTGAAACATTACTGTGTCCAGAGTCCTAGTGTCTGGTGTCTTGTCCCTCTTTCCCTGTCCCCAGAAAGCAGAGCTCAGGTCCCTCCTTCCAGAGCAAGACTGATTCTTTCCCCAACCACTGCCTCCCAGGACACTCACCTAGACCAGCCTCTCATGGCGAGATCTTCATCCCACCTCCTTTCCCAGCGTCAACCCCGCCTCCCTCCCTCAGGAGTAGTTATTCCAGAATGAAGAGTCTTTGCTTACTCGCTGGTCAGCTGGGTTGCTTATTAGGCACTTTTACCATGTCACACTATTTAAATCCTAAAACATCAGGAGGCTTGGAGGGACAAGGTCCTTGGCTACCCCCTCATTCGTAAGACAATAGGCAGCTATCTCTACCTGGAAAGTTTTTGATTTCTGACAGCCTGAGGCAGGAAGGAAATCCCAGTTCAAACCAAGATGTCAAGGTCTTATCTTTTCTCTGCTTCAGGGATTAGGAAAAACCCTCAAGGTTCTCTGAGGATAACTGTCTACCCCAAGATTAGAGAAAAGTTAGGACCATCCAAACACTCCTTTTTAATCTCCCCTCCAACTTCCCTTCACTATACTGCAGTTCTAGAGCAATGAGTTTGGCTGTGAGGTCCCCAGCAGCCAGAGTGAGAAGGGAAAACAGCCCCATTCCACTGCATGTTTTTCTCCCAATGGTCTCACACCTCTCTCTCTCTCTCTCTCTACAGCTGTCAGATGCCCTGAAGCGCCTCAAGGATGGTGGCCTGTCCGCAGGCTGTGGCTCTGGCTCATCCTCTGTGACCCCCAATAGTGGTGGGACACCCTTCTCCCAGGACACTGCTTACTCCAGCTGCCGCCTGGACACGCCCAACTCCTATGGACAGGGCACACCGCTCACACCGCGCCTGGGTACCCCATTCTCGCAGGACTCCAGCTACTCTAGCCGCCAGCCCACACCCTCCTACCTCTTCAGCCAGGACCCCACAGCGACCTTCAAGGCCCGGCGCCATGAGAGCAAGTTCACGGATGCTTACAACCGCCGCCATGAGCATCATTATGTCCACAACTCTTCTGCAGTCACCACAGTGGCAGGGGCCACAGCTGCCTTCAGGGGCTCTGTGGACCTCCCATTCGGGACAGTCAGCAGCAGCGGGGGCAGCAGTGGCCCTCCATTCAAGGCCCAACCACAGGATTCAGTCACCTTTGCCCACACTCCACCGCCTGCCCAAGCAAGCTCTGCTCCCGGAGTCCCGTTCAAGTCGGCTTTCTCTCCGTATCAGACCCCCATGCCCCCTTTCCCCCCACCACCCGAGGAGCCCACTGCCACAACCACCTTCGGGGCCCGTGACGGCGGGGAGTTCCGGAGAGCACCTGCGCCCCCGCCCCTGCCGCCCGCTGAGCCCCTGACCAAGGAGAAGCCAGGCACACCGCCCGGCCCACCGCCCCCTGATGCCAACAGCATGGAGCTGGGCGGCCGGCCGACCTTCGGCTGGAGCCCTGAGCCCTGCGACAGTCCTGGCACGCCTACGCTGGAGTCGTCACCTGCAGGGCCGGAGAAGCCCCACGACAGCCTGGACTCCCGCATCGAGATGCTGCTGAAGGAGCAGCGCACTAAGCTGCCCTTCCTTCGGGAGCAGGACTCGGACACGGAGCTGCAGATGGAGGGCAGCCCGATCTCGTCCTCCTCCTCCCAGCTCTCCCCGCTGGCCCCCTTTGGCACTAACTCCCAGCTGGGCTTTCGAGGCCCCACACCACCCTCCTCACGCCCCTCCAGCACCGGCCTGGAGGATATCAGCCCCACACCACTGCCCGACTCCGATGAGGACGATGAGCTTGACCTGGGCCTGGGACTCCGGCCCCCACCTGAGCCAGGCCCCCCAGACCCGACTGGTCTTCTGGGCCAGACAACCGAGCTGGCCTTGGACCTGGCTGGAGACAGGACCCCAACCTCAGAGAAGATGGATGAGGTACCGCCATGTCTGTCCATCTGTCTGGGATGGGTTTTGTCTGTCTTGTATCTCCCTCTTTCCCTTTTTGAAACGTGATCCCCTTAGGATAACTAGCTAAGACACAGAAGCAGCAGGGCTAGGGCAGCCAAAATAACAGATCAAAAATAAAAAGAGGGTGCGGGCCGGCCCCGTGGCGTAGCAGTTAAGTGCGCGCTCCACTGCTGGCAGCCAGGGTTCGGATCCCAGGCGCGCACCGACGCACTGCTTGTCAGGCCATGCTGTGGCGGCGTCCCATATAAAAAAAAGTGGAGGAAGATGGGCACAGATGTTAGCCCAGGGCCAGTCTTCCTCAGCAAAAAAAAGAGGATTGGCATGGATGTTAGCTCAGGGCTGATCTTCCTCACAAAAAAAATAAAATAAAGAGAGGATGCAAAAAGCACCAGGGGCTGTGTTTGAGCAGCTGATTTGGCTTTGAGCTCCCTAGCCGCTATGGAGAAAAGGGAAACATGACCTAGTTCTGTTGCCCTCCTTGTTAGGTATGGGAAGTCACAGCTTTTCCTAGGGATAAATTCTGACTTGAGCTTCTTTGGTAGGCATTTACTGAGACCCTGGAGAGTATGGGCTGCAGAGATGGTTCTGGGCCTCCTCTGTTGGGTGGCTTGCGGATGATCAAGGCTGGTCCTGATGCTCAGGCAGATTTCAGGAGAAGGATTAGCCAGAGTGCTCTGCTGAGCTGGGCCAGGTGGGAGCTCTGGAGCACTGTCTCTTAGAAACTGGTGCTCCCTGAAGAGATGGGAAACCATGGCAGGCAGGGAGGGCGTTGAAGTTTTCCTTCTCCCTCTCCCACTAGCTCCAGGAGTGAAGGAGTTAAGGGCTAGCCCCGGGGGCGGGCCACAGCCAGAAGCCGGCAAACCCAAAGATCCTCATCTGGGGTCTCACTGCCAAAACCTCCAGCCTCAGGGTTGGATTGGGGGTGCTGCATGCCACATTCCTCCGGGGGTGTGGTGGGGGGGGATTAGGTCATCTTTGTTGGCTCTGCTCCTCCCCCCTCCTGGTCCAGGCACCTGCCCTGGCCCTCCTGGAGACCTGAGTGGGAACCTGTGGGCCCGGCGGGCATGAGCAGCCAGGGGCTTGGACAGAGCTCTGTGTCCTGTGGGCGGTGGGAGGAGGGTCCCCCCTTCCGTGGCCCTTTGATTAGGCCGGTTTGGCTGCCTCAGGGAGGAACAGAAAGGAACCTGGCCTGCCCCGTAGGGGACCGCAGGTGGCTGAGGCTCCAAGGGGCCTCCAGGCGGTTCTAGGGAAGTAGTTCTGGCGCCAAGGGGTCCAGGCAGGGGGACTTGACAGGTGTGCAGACGTGGGGGGCTGCCGGCCCTGCTATCCTCCCTTCTTTCCTCCCTCTCTGCTGCCTGGGGTTAGGGGCTGTTTACCATGCTGACTGGCTGCTCCAGGGCTGGGAAGCCCAGAGTAGCTGGAGGGAATGGGCTCTCCCACCGTGTCACTGTAGGGAAGGGGAGACTGAGGCCCAGGGAGCTGGGGTCGGGGATGCCCCAGGACATTAGCCCAGGGAAGCAAGGGAAGCAAGGGAGTACTGGTAACCTCCAGGCTGGCCCTCGGGAGCCCCCTGCTGGCGGCCGGAGAGCAGCACCCGTGCTCCTGGGGACTGAGCCGGGAGGGAGTCCCAGCCTCGGCTGAAGAGGCGGGAGAGCCGCGCAGGGGGCACGCTTGGAGGGTGGAGGGAGAGAGTCTCATTCTTCGCTGGTGTTGAAAAGTTCAGGCTCCTGTCCTTGAGCCTCGAGCCCCGCTCTAGGTGGCCTTGGGAAAGGCACTTTCCCTCTCTGAGTCTCAGTTTCGCCGTCTGTGAAATGGGACGGTGAGAGCACCTGCCTACACTGTCTCGGCTTAAGTGAGGGGCCGTACGGGGAGCTCCAGGCTCAGCGCCCCCGGTTCCCGGTTCCCGCCGGCTCGCACCAGCCGAGGCGCGGAGGGAGGGGCAGGCCGAGGGCTGGAGCACCGGTCTCCTCGTGATTGGCTGGCCGCGGCGCCGGCTTAACCCTCTGCGCGCTGCGCGTCCAGGACTCATCTCCTGGAGTTCAGGCTGAGCCTGCCAGTCCCGCCCTAGCCTGGGCGTGGGAACCCTGAGAAGGGGAGAGAGCGGTGTGTGTAGAGGGGCCCTAGCAAAATCCAGAGCTTCCTGCCGCCGCCGGAGGCGCCGCCGGAGGTTCTACATTCCTCTTCTCCCCGCCCCTCCGTTTCCCTTGGAGGCCTCCCTCACTTGTAGGTGTGACCTCTGACCTTGCAGCCTGCACAGACCCCGCCCCCTCAGCCTTTAACCGCTCTCCCTGTCTCTGGCAACCTACAAAGTCTCCGATCCTGAGCCGTATTCCTCCTGGGCGGGGCCTGAGCTACCTCGTTGCCTCTTGTCCTGACAGAAGAGCCTGGGGGTGGCCTGTCCTCTCCCCACCCTGCTCTGCCTCCTCGCTCCGCCTCCACCATGTGGACCCCAGTGCCTCCCTCCAGTTCCAGGCCTGTGCATCCAGCTCCCCAAAGCTCCAGGTCACAATGCAGAGGGGCCCTTGCCAATTTCAGAGCCGGGGTCATCTGGTACCACTTCTCTGGATTTGGACAACAGCCCCCTTACCCTCAGCGGGCAGGCATCCTGCGCTGGAGTCCCAGCCCCATTTCTGACTGGCTGTGCCTCTGGGGCCAGTGACTTCCCGCTCTCTGAGTGCTTCCTCACCTGTCAAAAGGGATTGGAGTGGAGCCCCACCTTGTGAGGGTACGGCGCAGATAAGAAATGAGACGTGGTGTGCCCCCAGCACGCAGCCCCACACTGGACCCATTAAATGTGCAGTTACAGAAGTAGGGACCCCCCCACCCCCGCTCCAATGTCACCTTCTCCCTCGGGCCCCTCTGCCACAGTGAGGACAGCGGGCTGGCTGGGAGCACAGGCTGGGGAGCCACTTCCGGTTCAAATCCTGGCTCCATCTCTTATTGGCTGTGTGGCCTTGGGCAAGTTTCTTAAGCTCTCTGTTTCAGTTTCCTCATCAGTAATAATGGAGATAGCAGACCTACTTTGTAGAGTTGTTCTGAGGATTAACTGAGTTAATATGTGTAAAATGCTTAGAAAGGTGCCTGGTGCACAGGAAGCGCTATCGATGTCTTAACTATTAGTATTATCTTCTCTGAATACAAACTAAACAGAATCTCTCAAATTGAGACAGAATCTATTTCCTCCTTCATGCCCCATCCCCCTTCCCAGCTTTCTTTTTCTCCATGACGGACTGTATATTTCACATCTTCATCCTGGTTGTCCGTCGCTTCTTCCCTCTAGAAGTTTAGCTCCAAGAGAGCAAGAATTTTGTCTGTCGTGTTCACCACTGTGTCTCCAGCACCTGGAACAGTGTGCCTGGCACACAGCAGATGCTGAGTAGTTGTTTGTTGAATGAATGAATGAATGAATGAATCCTCATGATTACCCCATGAGGCAGGTAGTATGATGCCCATTATGCAAATGGGGAAACTGAGGCTTAGAGAGGTTAAATGACTTGTCCAAGGCCACATGACCGGGAAAGGAGGGGACCAGGATCAGAACTGCAGAACCCATGTTGCTCATTAGTCTTGCAGAAAGCTTCTCCAACTTTCTGGTGTTCAGAAGGGGGCTCTGGGAGCCGGCTTGGCCTCCCAGGCTCCCCCTCACCGCTCTCTCCTTGCTCTCCCCGCAGGGCCAGCAGTCCTCGGGTGAGGACATGGAGATCTCAGATGATGAGATGCCCTCGGCCCCCATCACCAGCGCTGACTGCCCCAAGCCCATGGTGGTGACCCCAGGGGCGGGGGCTGTGGCAGCCCCCTCTGTGCTGGCCCCGACCCTGCCGCTGCCCCCCCCCCCTGGCTTCCCGCCACTGCCTCCGCCCCCGCCGCCGCCCCCACCACAGCCTGGCTTCCCCATGCCCCCACCTCTGCCCCCGCCACCGCCCCCACCACCCCCGGCCCACCCAGCCGTGACAGTGCCCCCACCACCCTTGCCAGCGCCACCACCTGGTGTCCCACCCCCGCCCATCCTGCCGCCCCTGCCGCCTTTCCCGCCGGCGCTGTTTCCTGTGATGCAGGTGGACATGAGCCACGTGCTGGGTGGCCAGTGGGGCGGCATGCCCATGTCCTTCCAGATGCAAACACAGATGCTGAGCCGTCTGATGACGGCCCAGGGCACCTGCCCCTACCCCCCCTTCATGGCTGCCGCCGCCGCCGCCGCCTCGGCTGGGCTGCAGTTTGTCAACCTGCCGCCTTACCGGGGACCCTTCTCCCTGAGCAACACTGGCCCCGGCCGCGGGCAGCCCTGGCCACCCCTGCCCAAGTTTGACCCATCAGTGCCGCCACCAGGCTACGTGCCACGCCAGGAGGACCCACACAAGGCCACTGTGGACGGCGTCCTGCTGGTGGTGCTCAAAGAGCTCAAGGCCATCATGAAGCGTGACCTGAACCGCAAGATGGTGGAGGTGGTGGCCTTCCGGGCCTTCGATGAGTGGTGGGATAAGAAGGAGCGGATGGCCAAGGTGGGTGGTGGACACGGGCACCCTGGGGCGGCCGGTGGGTGTGAGGCAGGAACCCAGCCGGGTACCCCCTCTTCTCCCAAGACACGTTACTGGAAACACTGCCACCCACACCCCCAAAATAGGATAGCATGAATATTATTTTGTGAAACTTGTGTTTCAATGATACAGATGTAGTTACAATGTTTCTTTTGGATTCCAATCTCCAAAGTGCAAAAGCCACTGTTCTGATGCAGGTGGCTGTAGCGGCCTGCTTTGCGGGTGAGGAAACTGAGGGGCAGTGAGGCAGAGTGGAGCACTGCGAGCATCCTGAGGGGTGGGCACAGAGTGTGGCCAGGTACACGGAAAGGCAGTGCCAGTTAGTGCGGCTGTCACTTTTGGAGGAAGGCAGGCTGCTCAGGGAGAGCCACCCCGTGGGGTCGCTGGCAGCGCTGTAACCAGAGTGACCTTCCCCTCCTCTCTCCGCCCCAGGCCTCTCTGACACCCGTGAAGTCCGGCGAGCACAAGGATGAGGACAGGCCAAAGCCCAAGGACCGCATCGCCTCGTGCCTGCTGGAGTCGTGGAGCAAGGGCGAGGGCTTGGGCTACGAGGGCCTGGGCCTGGGCATCGGGCTGCGCGGGGCCATCCGGCTGCCCTCCTTCAAGGTCAAGAGGAAGGAGCCCCCAGACACAGCCTCATCTGGCGACCAGAAGCGGCTGCGGCCCTCCACCTCCGTGGATGAGGAAGATGAAGGTTTGTGTCCCCAGCCCCGTCCTTCGTCTCTTCTCCTTCCACGTCCACCCAGCCCAGCTTGACAGCCTCCCTCCCACAGAGTCTGAGCGTGAGCGGGACCGGGACATGGCAGACGCCCCCTGCGAGCTCGCCAAGCGAGACCCCAAGGGCGTGGGCGTGCGGCGGCGGCCGGCCCGACCACTGGAGCTGGACAGTGGCGGGGAGGAGGACGAGAAGGAGTCACTGTCAGTGTCCTCATCTTCATCGGCATCCTCATCATCGGGATCCTCGACCACCTCACCCTCATCCTCCGCCTCTGACAAAGAGGAGCGGGAAAGCACCGAGGAGGAAGAGGACGGGGAGGAGGAGGAGGAGGAGGAGGAGGAAGGCCCCAGGAGCCAGATCTCCTCCTCCTCGACCTCATCCACGTCAGATAAGGTACCATTTGGGTTGGGGAGGCCTGGGTGCTGGGCCAGGCGAGGGGGGCCCAGGCACTTCACCCATTCTCCCCATCCCTCTCCCCAGGATGATGACGATGAAGACAGCGATGACCGGGATGAGTCTGAGAACGATGAAGACACAGCCCTGTCGGAGGCGAGTGAGAAGGAAGAAGGGGACTCGGACGGAGGTGAGTGGGGCAGGCTGTGGCACCTGGCCCGGCCCAGGGTCCCTCTGCAGAGGGCAGAGCCTGAGCAATAGTTAGCAATACTTTTTGGGCAACATTTCTTGCCTTTGAAATGTGAACTCATTAAAACACACATGTGACGTACTGTATAATCCCACTTATCTGGAGTGTCCAGAACAGGTCAATCCAGAGAGACAAAAAGCAGATTAGTGCTTGCTTGGGGCAAGGGATGAGGGTAGAGGGGTGATAGCTGAAGGGGATGGGTTTCTTCTTGAGCTGATGAAAGTGTTTTGGAGCCAGATAGAGTTGGTGGTTGTGCACATTGTGAATGTACTAAATACCATTGAATTGTTTACTTTAAAATGGTTAGTTTAATGTTCTGTGGATTTCAGCTCAATTTTAAAAAGTGATGAGTAGGTAACACACACGCACACATCCCCCCACATGTCCCAGGGCCGTGTTCAGCCCGGGTGCCACCAGCTGGAGACCGGTGGTAAAGCATCTGGTTGGGGCACAGCAGGTAATGGGAGGGCTTCTGCCTGTGTCCCCTCCCAGAGGAGACGGTGAGCATCGCCACCTCCAAGGCTGGAGCCGGGTCCTCCAGCGAGAGTTCTGAGTCTTCTGAGTTTGAATCAAGCTCTGAGTCCTCGTCCTCATCCTTGGAAGATGAAGAAGAGTTGGCAGCAGAGGAGGAGGAGGAAGAGGAAGAGGAGGAGGAGGGAGAGGAAGCTGCAGAGGAGAGCGTGGCTCCCGCTGCTCCCGACGAGGACTTTGAGGAGGACGTGACCACGGGGGCGCCCGCAATGGAGTCCTTGGGCATGGAGGAGGAGGTGGACATCGAGGCTGAGGACGAAGCCCCCCAGGAGCAGACCCCCATGCTAGAGGAGCCCTCCTTGCCTGTGGGTGTGGAGGAGCCTGTGAGCTGCAAGGAACCCCCTGAGGAGCCGGGCCTGAACCAGGAAGGGGCCAGGCTGCCATCTCCAGAGCCCCCTGCTGGAGAGAGGGAGAGCCGGCCCCTGCCCTCCCCAGAGCCCGCTCCAGGTAACACCTGTGGCCCATGGAGGGCAGTGGAGAGGGAGGCGGGATGTCCTCACCATCAGAATGAGCCCAGGCTCCTCTGGGTAAATCACCTAACCTTCTCAAGCCTCAGTTTCCTCATCTGTAAAATGGGATCAGTGGACAGTGCCTCCCTTATGAGGCCATATGGAGGATAGGGTGAGATGGCATATTGTGCCCACACTGAACCTGGCACGTGATAGTTCCTGCTGCTGTTACCATTCCTCAGTGCCAGTATTTCCCCATGGTGTAGTCTTTGGACCATCAGTCCCATGAGATGCTCCCAGTAAAGCGGGGGGGTGGGGAGTGAGCATGGTCGTGTTAGTGACGGGCAGGTGGGGAGCTGGGCCACGGGAGAGAGGCTGCGGACACTGTACCCTCCACCATTTTGATGGAGCTGCACAGAGCACGTGAAGAGCTCTAACAGCATCGTCCAAGAGAACTTTCTACGGTGATGGAAATGTTCTCTCTCTGCCCTGTCCAATACTGTAGCCACTACACACAATGTCGCTCTGAGCACTTGAAATTCAGCTTCACTGTGGAGCTGAATTTGTAATGCTATTTAATTTTAATTAATTTAAACTTACGTAGCCACATGTGCTTAGTTCGAACCTCTAATAAGACCTTCAGGAGAGAAACCTGTTATATTTTCTTTAATTCTGTGTTATTTGGCTACAAAACCACAGGTCTTTGAATATTGTCACAAGTATTTATTATGCCTCTAGTGTGTCCCCAGTACTCTTCTAGGCACTGACAATACAACAGTGGACGAAACAGACAAACATCTGCCCTCATGGAGCTTATGTTCTAAGGCAGGGTGACAGATGACAGCAGATAAGTTAGAAAATGTGTTATATGACGATGGAGATGAATGCTAGGAGGAGGCAGAACCTTAAATGCAGAACCTTAAAGGCTCTGACAAGTCCTGCAGGAAAGAGACTTGTTGAATTTTATTCGATGACAGAGCCTATTTTCTTGGACGTTTCCTGTTCATGGGAACTCCCTCTCTGAAGACCCAGTGTCAAAGGCTAGCAACCGCATCTCCTGCGTCTTTGATTTACTCCACCAGCATTTAACAAGCACCTACTGTGTGCCTGACAATGGGCTGGGTGCTGAGCAGTCCTTGAGTGGTTTAGCTGGAGGGGGACAGTCCCCATATTCACAAAACCTTGGGGGACTCAGAGGGCTATGAGTCGGTCAGGTGTCAAGTGCACAGTAGGGCAGCATAAATTGAGTGCTGAGCAATGTTTGAATCCAGTAATAACAGTCTGGTTTTCACCCCCCTCTCTGCAGAGGATGAGCTGGAAGCGGAGCCCGAGCCCCCTGCGCTGCTCTCCTTACCTCTGCAGCCGCCACTGCCGCCCCCTCGACCACCCCGGCCGCCCAGCCCACCACCGGAGCCCAAGACCCCGGACCCCTCACATGCCCCTGTCCCCCTGGAGCCTCCCCTGGAGGACCAGCCCCCGCGTACCCCAGGCCTCTGTGGCAACCTGGCCAAGTCGCAGAGCACAGAGACGGTGCCGGCCACGCCGAGCGGGGAGCCCCCGCTGTCGGGGGGCAGCAGTGGCCTGTCACTGAGCTCCCCTCAGGTGCCAGGCAGCCCCTTCTCCTACCCATCCCAGTCCCCCAGCCTGAGCAGCGGGGGCATCCCAAGGACACCTGGCCGGGACTTCAGCTTCACGCCCACCTTCCCCGAGCCCGGCGGGCCCATACTCCTGCCCGTCTGCCCCCTCCCAGCTGGCCGGCGCGATGAGCGGTCTGGCCCCCTGGCCTCCCCGGTGCTCCTGGAGACGGGCCTGCCGCTCCCTCTGCCCTTGCCCCTGCCCCTGCCCCTGGCATTGCCGGTCCCTGTCCTGCGGGCTCAGACTCGGGCCCCTGCCCAGCTGCCACCCTTGCTGCCCGCCCCGCTAGCCCCCTGCCCGCCCCCCATCAAGAGGAAGCCGGGCCGGCCCCGGCGATCCCCGCCGGCTGTGCTCTCCTTGGATGGGCCCTTGGTCCGGCCACCAGGAGGGGCCGCCCTCGGCAGGGACCTTCTGCTCCTGCCAGGCCAGCCACAGACCCCTGTCTTCCCCAGCGCCCATGACCCCCGGGCCGTGACCCTGGACTTCCGGAACGCGGGGATCCCGGCCCCCCCACCTCCCCTGCCCCCCCAGCCTCCCCCACCGCCACCTCCACCACCCGTTGAACCCACCAAGCTGCCCTTTAAGGAGCTAGAGAACCAGTGGCCCTCCGAGGCCATCCCTCTGGGTCCCCGCGGGCGCGACGAGGTCACCGAGGAGTTCATGGACCTGGCCAAGATGCGGGGACCCTGGCGCCGGCCGCCTAAGAAGCGGCACGAGGACCTGGTGGCCTCGGCCTCACCTGAGCTCTCGCCACCACAAGCCCTCTTCCGGCCCCGCTCGGAGTTTGAGGAGATGACCATCCTGTATGACATCTGGAACGGCGGCATCGACGAGGAGGACATCCGCTTCCTGTGTGTCACCTACGAGCGGCTGCTGCAGCAGGACAACGGCATGGACTGGCTGAATGACACGCTCTGGGTCTACCATCCCTATATCCTGCCAGGCGGGGCGGGGGCCACACCTCCTGGGACACAGGCACCCTCACCCCCCTCTCTAGGCCCCGTCTCCCACAGGCGCGCACGTCACCATCACCTATGGAGTGGTGTCTGTGGGCCGGCACTGTGCCAGGCTCCAAACTAAATCATCACTGGCACTTTAAACACGCCCTCTGTGCCAGGCCCATCTCACCCCCAGAATTAGCAGGTCTCAGGGCCACATGTAGCAATGTGACTGTAGAATAGCAGCAGCAGAGGCTGGCTGAGGGCTCACGCTTCCTGGACTCCTGATCACCTAATTTAATCTTCCCAACAGCCCAGTGAGATAGGGGCTATTATTATTCCCATTTTACATATGAAGAAACTGAGGCTCAGAGAGGTTCAATGACCTGTCTAAAGTCACACAGCTATGAAGTAGCAGAGCTGAGATTTGAACTCACGCAAATCGTTCCAGGATCTGGGGTCTTAGCCACGATGCTAGCCTGATAGTTGTTACCGCAAGCCTGTGAGGTTGGAGCTGTCGTTATCCATGTTGTACCAAACTAATTTACTGAGCACTTGCTCTGTGTCAGGAACTCTGCTAAAGCGGCCTGAGCAGATGTAATCATTCAGAGGCACCATTATTACCCCAACTTGCACATGAGGAAACTGAGGCAGAAAGTGGATAAGAAACACACCTAGGGCCTTGCAGCTGGGTGCCCCTGATAGAGTTCTGACCATCAGTGGAGTCGGCCAGTGGCCAGCTGCATGGAGGTGGCGTAGTTGTGGGCGGTGGGGCTGGGCATCCTTAGCCTCCTGGAGACGGGTCTCGGGGTGGAGGGGCTGGGCCCCATGAAGTGGGTCTCCAGAGTGACCGGAGGGGCTCTCCCAGAGTGTCCATGTGGCCCTTGACCCACACCCACCCACCAGCCTCTCTTCAGCTAAGAAAAAGAAACGGGACGATGGCATCCGTGAGCACGTGACCGGCTGCGCCCGCAGCGAGGGCTTCTACACCATCGACAAGAAGGACAAGCTCAGATACCTCAACAGCAGCCGCGCCAGCACCGAGGAGCCCCCCGCCGACACCCAGGTACTGCCATCAGGCGCCCAGACAGCGCAGCGCCCCTGGTGGGGCCGTGGGCGGGGGTCTCCTGGAGGGGGTGCCAGGCACCCCGAGGGACTGTGGAGCCAGAGGGGCTGGCACACGGAGGGTGTCACTCACCTGGGTGCTCAGGGGTGAGGGGTGGGCAGTGAGGAGCCTCTGAAGGGTTTTAATCAGGGACGTGAGCGGAGTTGAGTAGTGATTCCAGAAGGTTCATTCATCCCTTTTTACATTCAGCAAGTATCTGTTGAGCACCTGCTGTGTTCTAGGCCTGTTCTGGGGCTGCAGCAGTGAACAAAGCAATAATCCTTTCTTCACGGAACTTAGATTTTAGTGGGGGCTTGGAAATAATCAAGCAAACAAATAAACATAGAATTCCAGGTGGAGAGAATGCTATGAAGAACATAGGAGAGGAGGTTAGGGGTTGGCAAGTCAGAAGGGGTCAGAGAAGGGGACATCTGAGCCAGATCTGAATGAAGTAAAGAAACAAGCCATGTGGATAACTGGGAGAGACAACAGAGAAGTAGAAAAAGACTTCAATAAAAAGTTAAAACAGGACAGGGGCTCACTAAGTCCAGTAGGTCACACATAGCACAACATGTGCAAAGGCCCTGAGGCGGGGAGGAGCTCAGTGGTGTGAAAAGGAAAGGCTAGTTGCAGCCAGAGAGAGAGAGAAGAGGTCATCAGGGCCCCAGAGGCTGTGGTTTGCATTCTGTGTATGACGGCAAGCCACAGTGGGGTTTTGAGAGAGGGGGTGACGGTGATGTGGTTCAGGCTGTGGTTTTCAAAGCTCACACTGGCTGCTGTGTAGACAGTTGACTGCAGGGGTCCAGAGGGGAGACTCTGATACAGTTGCTACAGTTTCCAGTCTAGACGTGCGGCTAGGTTGGACTTGGTTGGCCATGAGGACAAAAATGGATGCATTTCAAAGAATATCAGAAATATTAGAATACGAGGAAGTCGAATGGACAGGACTGAGGGCTGGATTGGGTATAGGAGACAAAGGGGAATGGGGGGACACCACCAGGTCTGGCCTGGGGGACTGGATAGCTGGACAAGCACTGAGGTGGGAAGGAAGATGGCACCTTCACTGTGGGACAGCTTGAGTTTGGGGGTCTGTGGAACATCCAGGTAGTGAGGTTGGGCAGACAGTTAGATATATGGGTACAGTATAGAACTTGCGGGAGGGACTTCCGGTCCAGGGACCTAAATTTAGGCATCATCGGGATGGAAACGTTGATCAAAGGGCACAGCAGGGATGAGCCCACCCAGGGAGAGCATCTGGGGAGGAGGGAGGCTCCTCCCTGTTCATGGCTGGGGCAGAGGATGAGGGAGGCCAAGAGAAGGAAGGGATGCTCGGATGTCCAGGAGGGAGCCAATATTTCGAATGTTTGGGGAAGTCAGAGGGGCCATGGGATCAAGGTAGATAGATACCCACTGTCTTTTGTCTGAGAAGCGGGGATGCTTCCAGATTTTCCAGCTGAGATGGGAAAAGACAGCAAGAGTGAAGGGAAAGCTGTATCGTTATCATCAAGACTGGAGGAACTTGAGCATGTTCCGATTCTGACAGAAGGACCCAGCTAGAGGAGAGGTGATAGTTAGGGACAGGAGAGGCACAAATACGCCCAGAGCAAGGAAGCTGGAAAGTGGGGCAACAGGGACCCAGAGTTAGATGCCAAGGACATGATGGGGACCTGGGTACCGTAGTCAGTGGGGCCAGCTCCCTCCGGCAACGCGCCCCTCCTCTGATGTGTCCCCCGCCATCGCCGGCAGGGCATGAGCATCCCGGCGCAGCCTCACGCCTCCACTCGGGCGGGCTCGGAGCGGCGTTCGGAGCAGCGCCGCCTGCTGTCCTCCTTCACTGGCAGCTGTGACAGTGACCTGCTCAAGTTCAACCAGCTCAAGGTGAGGCCAGGCCCCACTGGGGTGGCCGGGGTGGCCGTGGGACCCGAGACAGGGCTCTCACCCCCATCTTCTTCCTCCCCCAGTTCCGGAAGAAGAAGCTCAAATTCTGCAAGAGCCACATTCACGACTGGGGCCTGTTTGCCATGGAGCCCATCGCAGCTGACGAGATGGTCATCGAGTACGTGGGCCAGAACATCCGCCAGGTAGGCGCTGCACTGGGCCGGGTGGCGGGGCGGGGACGGGTGGCCCAGCCCAGACTGAGCGCTCGTCCCGGCCAGGTGATCGCGGACATGCGGGAGAAACGTTATGAGGACGAGGGCATCGGCAGCAGCTACATGTTCCGGGTGGACCACGACACCATTATCGACGCCACCAAGTGTGGCAACTTTGCGCGCTTCATTAACCACAGCTGCAACGTGAGTACAAGGGGCTGCCACTGCCCCTGCCACGGTGCCCGGAGGACCCAGGAGCCCCTGGCACGGGAACCAGTGCAGCTCCTTCCCAAGCTCGGGGGCGAGCGAGGGCGATAGGGAGGGAGGGTGGGGGTGTGAGGCCTTGTACAAGGAGCCTTTCTCCTCTGAGCTTCAGTTTCCTCATCTGTAAAATGGGCATCACGAGACTCAAGGTACTCAAAAAGTGGTCCGCTCAGTTAATAATTACGGAGCTCCTTCTCTGCGCTGGGCTTTTCTATGCCTCGGTTGGCTGGGCTCAGCCGTCAGAGAGCTTACATCCCATGGCAGTGCTGTTCAGTAGATCTTTCTGCACTTCAGTAGATCTTTCTGCACTTCAGTAGATCTTTCTGCACTTCAGTAGATCTTTCTGCACTGGGGGAAAGTCTGTGCTGTTCTAGCCACGTGTGGGGCTGAGCGCTTGAGATGTGGCCAGGGCGACTGAGGAACTGGGTTTTTAATTTTAATTAATTTAAATGTAAATAGTCACACATGGCTAGTAGTGACAGTAGTGGACAGTGCAGGGCTTGGGGGCCTGGTGGGCATTGATAACAAGGTGATTCTCGCACCAAAGACAAACATAAGGAGCTTCAAACAGGAGGCAGGCTACTTCCAGGGCGAATACCCCCGACCCTGTGTTCGAGTCTTGCATCACTTCTTAGTGAGTGACCATAGGCTTGTTACTTCGTGTCTTGGTGCCTCAGTTTCCTAATCTGTAAAACAGAGATGATAACAGTCCTCCTTGTAGGCTGTTGGGAGGACCAGGGGCATCGCTGAGTGCGGGCCCTTTGAGTGCGCTGACACAGCAGGTGCTCAGTACGTGCCAGCTCGCACGATTGTGACTCGATTATTCCCCGGGCCAGTAGGGACTGTGCTGTGAGATCTGAGGGATGAGAGGGAATCACCCAGGTGAAGCAGTGAGTGGGGCAAGCGTTCTGTTCAAAGGTCCTGGGGCAGGGAGCGAGACACCTGTTTGAGGGACAGCAAGGGGGGCAGTGGGGATGGAGTGGGGGTCAAGAGGGCACAGTGAGAGGCTGAGGTTGGCAGGGTTGGGGTGGCCAGGTCACTCAGCCCTATAGGCAGAGCTGAGAAGTTTCTCTAAAAGCCAAGGCAGGCCACTGGAAGGTTTTGAGCCAGAGACTGACAGGATCTGCTGTCCCTTTGGAAAGATTTCCCTGGCTCTGGGTCAGGAATAGATTTTTTCAGAGGACAGAGAGCCAGTGGGAGCGGCTGTAGTCCAGGCGAATGGTGATGGGGGCCTGACCATCTCCAGAGCTTGGAAGAGGCCTGGGCTAGAAATATAAGCTTGGGAGTCACTTGCAGTATAAATGGAAATCAAGGCCTAGGAAGTACTTCAGGATTAGTACCATTGTCATCATTCTTACTTAATATCAGAGGCAGGAGGTCCTTGTGCCCGATGGGGAAGCTGAGGCCCAGAGCAGGGGGCCCGCGGGCTGGGGGTCATGCAGTCAGTCAGGCCTTGAGCTTGGGGCTCGGCTGGGTGTTGGGGGCCGCGGTGGTGGAGGGCCTGGGGGGGCCCGGGTGGGTTGTGTGCTCACCCTCCCCTCCCGCCTCGCCCACAGCCCAACTGCTACGCCAAGGTGATCACGGTGGAGTCCCAAAAGAAGATCGTGATCTACTCGAAGCAGCACATCAGCGTCAACGAGGAGATCACCTACGACTACAAGTTCCCCATAGAGGACGTCAAGATCCCCTGCCTGTGCGGCTCCGAGAACTGCCGGGGGACCCTCAACTAGGCCCGGCGCCCCGCAGAAGGATGTCAGCGGCGCCCCGGGGCTCCCGAGCGTGGCCCCCACGGCCCCGGGGCCTGGCCCCACCTCCCACCCCCATTTCAGGTGCTGTCCCTCTCCCCAGCGGCCGTGTCAGGGCCTGGCGCCCCCAACACTACCCCCAGGACCCCCGCAGCTCCAGCCCCTCAGGGGGAAAGGGCTTCTCTGTCTCTCAGCACGTGTCTCTCTCGTTTTTTAAAAATGCTCCTTTCAGCATTTTTGTTTAGCTCCAGCATAAATGTCTCTCTGTCTCTGTGTCTCCCCCCTTTCTCCACCTCTGTCTGTCTGTCTGTCTGTCTGTCTGTCTGTCTTTTCTCTCACCTGTCTTTTTCATCAGCCTCTTCCCGTGAATGCTGCTACATTGTCTTGTTTTCTCTTTATTTTTTTCCCTGTCATAAGAAAAGATATTTTAACCGTTGAAATGTGAAGGCAGAGTCAGAGAGTGGGGACCCCCAGCCGGGCTGTGGAGGCCTCAGTTTGATGGTGTGTGGGCCCACGTTCTGGAACCCCTGGCCAGGGCACTGGGCCCGGTGCTGCAGAGAGGAGGGGGGTCGGGCCCGGCGGCTTTGATCTCAGAACACTACGCAAGGCCCCCCTCTCTGCTGGCAGACTGACTCAGTGAGGAGAGGACCCCCCCTTCCCTGACCCCCATCTGTTCCTTCCCCAGCAGCCTGGGGGCGCCATTTCCCCAAGCAGACCTTGGTGGAGCCAAGCTGGTCCCAGGCAGGAATGTCCCCTCTGGGCTCTCCCTGCCACCCTACACCCCGCCACCTTCAAAATCTTGGGTTCAATGTTTACTTTCTCATTCGAATGCCAGCAAGGAGGGAGCCTCCCGGAGGCCCCAGTGTGGGCGAGGGGCGCTGGGAAGGGTTGAGTCTCCTCTCTCCTGCCCTCACCTTCACCGGACAGAGGACGGCCTCCCAGGGCCGGCGGGGCCCCCAGACCCGCCACTACGGGTGTCTGATCGGATGTGTGTGGCATTTTTCTGTTTATAAGCTTCACCTGCTCGCCCCCAGCCCCCTCCCCAACTCACCCTGCCAGCAGCCCCCTCACCCCAAGAAGTCAAGAGCATATTTATTTTCAGAGTGAGAAGATTATTTCTCCCAGAGAAAGGAAAATCTTGGAAAAGATTTTAAAACTCAGATCTAACAAGGTCTGACAGGTTTTGTTTTGTTTTTTTAATCCTTTTTACCCGCTTCCCATCATCCTCTTCAGGGTTTATTTCCATGAATTTTTTTTTCTTATGCGTGTATAAAATCAAAACGAAGGGAAAAAATAGGTTTTTGAAGTTCAGAACCAACTTCTGTATATAGGCTGCCATAAAGGACTTTTTCTCGGGAACATTGTTTCTTGTAGAAACATGTGGGAAGACTTTTTTGCTCATTTCTTTGTACTTCCAGAACACCACACACACACACGCACACACACACACACACACACACACAAACACACACAGGCACGTCCCCTGCACCCCAGAAAGCAGAGCAAGTGTGTAAATAATTTATGGAAAGTGACTGTTGTGACCAGGAGTCATCCTCACCAAGACGGGAGAGCTCTCGGTGGGGCCGCACCCACCGCGGACGCAGGCCCGGAGCCTCTGGTATCTCAGCTTGTGTCAAGCTTGTTATCATGTAAATTCTGTACAAAGAATTGTTATTTTTCTCTTTTTTTGTCGTTGGTGGTTTTGTTGTGTTTTTTTTTTTTCTCCACCCCACGCCCTCTCTGTTTGAGACTGTGCCCACCGTTTCAAGGTGGTCGAAACTGGTGGCCTGAAGACACGGGGGGACCTGGGCACATCGGCGACCTTCTCTTCCGTTTGCGGTTTTCTGCCTAATTGTGCAACCGAGGAAATATTTATTTTTCACATGAGGAAATGTGCAGTTTGTAGAGATGGCTGATTTAAGTTACTGGTGCAGCCCCCCAGGGGCTGCCTGCATTCTCTCCCCTCCCTCCATAAAAGAAGTGGGGGGTGTGAGGACACCAGGGGCCGGGGGCCAGCCTCACCCCTGACCCTGGCCTCACCTTGCCGACCCAGCGAGGGGCTGGGCCCTCCCTGTTCCCAGGAACCCCCGCCCCACCCCTGAGATGGTTTGCCATATCCAGAGATGCGTTGACTCATTTTTCTTTCAATGCCTTCATTTTCATTGAACAAATCTTTGCTTTTGAAGAGTTGGGGGTTTCTGCTTTTTTTTCCCTTGTCCCTCCCCACTGCCCCCCTCCTCCCGCAAAGAAGAGAACCCATAAGTTTTAGGTATGTTTGTGCATATAGACTCTGTCATCCGTATGTAACTTGTTTTGAAGAGAAGTGTTTCCGTTGTGGGTGTGTCTTGCTGTAAATATTTGTTCATATTTTTGTGAATTCAATACTATGTACCATTGTATTATAGTAACTTTTATAAAGCAAACCATAAATATACTGACTTTTCTTACAGATATGCCATCTCTCTTGCTCTCCTCTCTCTCCCTCTCCATCTTTCTGTCTGTTGGGGGCCCACCCTGCTCACGTGGAGGGGAGGCTGGCTGAGCTCAGGGGGTGCAAGGAGCTAGGTAAGGTGTGGTCCACTCAGACCAGCAGTTCTTAAACTGTAGGTGGATTCCATGAACTGGGCCAAGTTGTAGTCAGACTAGACCTTTCACAGCTTTTAAATTTTCCTTCCAGAACTTTTAAAACCTTAGGTATCTAACAATGCTAATGGTCTGCAATTAAGGAAATGAGTATCCTGTTGCTTTCACTTGAACTTGGAAAGGTGGCACCTCAAAAATGTTTAACACTCAAGGAGACATCGCTCTGGTCTGCAGTTGAGGGGGGAGGGGGATGACAAAATAGTCACGAGTTGGGAAGAATTCAACGTGGGTAGTGTTTGTGGTATTCCAGAGGTCCCGTGCCCTCGTAGGTCTCGACTGCCTGAGCCGGTGGCGGGGTAACTGGGGGGCCACAGAGAGTTTGTTAGACGATGTCTACTCATCCCAGAGAAGGAGAGACACAAAACCTCAGCAAGAAGCAGCATGACCGAAAAAATGCCGCGCCTCACTTCTTACTAGAGAAATGCAAATTATACCGCGATGCCGCTTCCCCTGTCAAGTGGCAAATATCAGAAATTGGAAAATACCCAGTGTTGGTGAGCACATGGCGGGGGGCACTCATGCACCATTAGTGGGAGCATAAACAGCTGCAACCTTGAGGAAGAAACAGCTGTCCACAATCAGGCCTTAAAATGCACATAGACTCGGCCGAAATATTCCACTATCAGGAATTGAGCCTAACAGCCACAAGCAGGCAACAATATGGACAAGAATGTTCTTTGCAGTCTCTCTTGTGAGCAAAGAAATGAAGGCAGGGTAGACATCCGCTAGTGCTGGGCTGGTTTTCAGAATTGTACGTCTGAACAGGTGAACACCACGGAAGGTGGATTTGTGGGAACAGAAAATGAGCTGAGGGTCAGGCAGGGCCAGGAAAGAAGATAGAGGCAGCTGCTGGCCATTCATTCATTCATTCAACCAATATTTATTGAGCACCACTATGTGCCAGATACTCCTCTAGACACTGGGGATATAGGAACAGAGAAAAGACACTCCCTGTCTTCATGGTAATTGTGTTCTTGTGGGTGAGTCAAACATGAAGACCAAATGCTATAGTAAGGAGAAAAATAGCTACGAGAAGAGGGTGTCAGTTGGGAGGGGAGTGAAATTTTAAAGAGTGTGGTCAGGAAAGTGCACTTAACTGTCATGTGAACAAAACTCAAAGGAGATAAGGGAGTCTGCCCTGTGAACAGCTTGGGGAAGGGTATTCCAGGCAGAAGGAGCAATGTGTGCAAAAGTCCTGAGGCAGGAGCCCACCTGGTGTATGTGAGGACCACCAAGGGGGCCTGCGTGGCTGCAGCTGAGTGAGGGAAGGGGAGAGTAAAGGAAATGAGGTCCGAGAGGTACCAAGTGGGGGAATGAGGGAGGCAGATGCTGTAGGGCCTTGCAGGGCAGCACGAGGACAACCCAGGGCGTCCAGGCCAAGGCACACGAGGAAAACACATCCAAGTTTGAGTTTCCTTTGACTTCCCTCTCAAACCTGCTCCTCCTGCCGTATTTTCCACCTCTGTCAGTGGCACTTCTACTCCTCACCTCCACCCACCATGGCTGCCACAGGTTACCTGAGCTCGACACCTGGAAATCCTGGCCTTCTCCTTTTCCCTCAGCTACCAAGTCGATGGTTCTCCTTTTCCCATATTCCTTTTTTTTTTTTTTTTTTTTTTTTTTTTTTTTTTTTTCCCCCCAAAGCCCCAGTGGATAGTTGTGTGTCGTAGCTGCACATCCTTCTAGTTGCTGTATGTGGGACTCGGCCTCAGGATGAACGGAGAAGTGGTGCCTCGATGCGCACCCGGGATCCGAACCCGGGCCACCAGCATCGCAGTGCGCGCACTTAACCACCAAGCCACAGGGCCGACCCCCCTTTTCCCATATTCTTCAAATCCATCCACTTCTCCCTCTGCCCCTCCTCAGTCCCACAGGATAAGTCCTTCCTTCACTGGTTCTGCTGTGGGGGCTCCAACTCCAGACATCTGCATGCACAGGGCAGACTAGGGTGGGGTGGGAGATGCCGGGTAGACTTGGGCAAGAGCCCCTCCCCTAGGCCCCTTGCCAGAAATAACAAGAGCACACACAGCACTGACACGATGCCAGCCACTGTTTTAAACATCTTTGATATTAAGCTCACAGCAGCGCTAGGAGGTGGGTATTGTTATCATCCCCATTTAACAGATGAGGAAAACCGAGGTACTGAGAGGTCAAGTAGCTTGCCCAAGTTCACACAGCTGGCAAGCAGCTGATCTGGGGTGTGAACCCAGGCAATCCGGCTCCCTAGTTTGTGCTCAGATGATGCAAATCTGCTCTGCTCATGCCCCATCTAAAGAAGCACCCACGGCCTGGCACCAGCTGATTGTTGCTGGGTAGGAAAGCAAGCCTAGAATGCCCGGGTGTTCCAAGAAGAACCAGAATCCTAGAATTCGTATGTGAAATATTTCAGCCTTCTGAAATGTTGACTCAAATTTGTTTAAAACCAGGCAAACAAAATAAAATACATCTGTGAGCCAGATTTGGCCCATCAGCCACCAGTTTGCAACCTCTTGGGGTACAGAATTTCCCTTCTTTGCATAAGCCATGGGAAAATAGAGGGAGGGTATTTTTAACTAGCAGCACGGGGGCCTGCCATTGTTCCTCTGGCTTCTCACTGCTGTTCTTTTCATTTCTGAAGTGCATGATCCCAGAAGTCCTGACTTCTCTAACCTGAAAAAAATCCCCCAATTCCCCATTATACTAACTCAGATTTTCTTCTTATACTGAGATCCACCTGCTCCTATTCTGAGTTGACTCATCCTCAGGGAGGGCTGTCGTGCATCAGAAGCAGAAGGAAAGAGACCCAATTTGTCCCCACCTTCTCTTCTCTGGTTTTGAAGAAAAATTTCCCTGTAAGAGTTTTAGGACCAGTAGCTCCTCTCCCAACTGTGTCATTTCTTTGCAAGTGTCACTCACACTTGAGTATGAACTAGCCTCTTTCCAAAGGGAGTCCTCACTGGGAGCAAGGCTGAGGGGAGTGGAGCTGCATGGGAGTGGGGGGAGGGGTGACTCCCACGCTGAAGGCAGAGGGCAGAAGCTGAGGGGCTCAGATCCCTCCTACCTGCTCTCCCTCTCAGACCTGGAACCACGTCCTGTGGTTGCTGAGCAAGGATGCTGCCCCGAAGTCCCTTGGCTAACACCCTCCCCCCTCCTATGCCCAGAAGTTTGGGCTCAGGGCAGCAAAGATGGGGACAGTTTATCTTCAGAGATCATAAAGCCATCAGACAGGACGCTATCAAGCACGATCCCACCCTACGGCCTTTACTCTTGCTGTTTCCTCTTCCTAGGATGCTCTTTCCCCAGATTTTCCGGTGCGTGGCTCCCAAATGTCACCTCCCCAGAGAGGCCGTCCCTCGATGGAAATTAGTCCCCCTCCCAGCTTCATCTCCACACAATCTCATCACCTGCTTTATTTTCCTAATAGCCTTTACCACTCTATGAGTGGTAAGCCCTCTGCACCCCTTGGTTCCAGAATTCCCCCCAACCGGCGCCGTCTTTAGCAAAGCGCTTGCACCCGGCGCCTTCTCGCCTCCGAACCCCTAACGCGGACGCCTCCTGCAGCGCTGCCGCTCTGCGCTCCCCCTGGCGGCCAAAGGGCGTCACCGCTCCAGCCCGGCGCAAACACCAGACCACCGCGCGGGACCCACGTCCGCTTTATTCCGGAGGGCGGGAGCAGGGAGGGGGCGTGGCCAGGAGGTGGGCGGAGCCTTGGGGGAGGTCCCGGAGCCGGCTGGTGGGCGGAGTCTAAAGGGAATGGCCACTAAGGAGGGCTTGCGGTTCGGGGCCTGTGGGGTGGGCCTGTTCCAAGACTAGGGGGCGTGGCCCACCGTGCGCCGGCGGGCGGGGCAGGCGGGACCGGCGGGGCCTACTTGCCGGGCACAACCTCTTTGGTGTCCATGTCGGTGAGGTTGCCCCGCAGGTCCTGCTCCTCTTCGAAAGCCTTGAACAGTGAGTTGAAGTTGCCGGCTCCAAAACCCTGGAGCGGGAGAGAGAAAGTGACCAGAAAGCCAACCGTGCTACCCTGCATGCCCTCGGGCTTGCTGGGGACAGGCGATACCTGGTGGTTGTGGCGCTGGATGACTTCCAGGAAGAGCGTGGGCCGGTCCTGCATGGGCTTGGTGAAGATCTGCAGGAGGTAGCCCTTCTCGTCATAGTCCACCAAGATTTTCAGCTCCTGGGTGGGAGACACGGGGCTGGGTTATGGGGCGGCTGGCATAGTGGGATCCTTAGAAAGTCCATAGAGTCTCCTGCACCCCCAAAGCCGGGAAAGGCCCTTTCTCCAGCAGTTCCAGACACCTCCAAATAGATCCCCAAATTGTCCCATTACCACCCCGTGCCACAGTTCCTGTGTAGGCCACCATCAAGGCTGGCCTGGACCACGCCAGGGGCCTCTACACAGGTCTCCCTCCTCGCCTCCTTACAATCCATCCCCCTCCACAGACATCAGTAGGATCTTTGAAAAGTCAGATCCCATGTTTAAAACCCTCCAGTGGAGGGCCGGCCCTGTGGCTTGGTGGTTAAGTGCGCACGCTGCAATGCTGGTGGCCCGGGTTCGGATCCCGGGTGTGCATCGAGGCACCACTTCTCCGTCCATCCTGAGGCCGAGTCCCACATACAGCAACTAGAAGGATGTGCAGCTATGACATACAACTATCTACTGGGGCTTTGGGGGGAAAAAATTAAAAATAAATAAAATCTTAAAACCCTCCAGTGGAAATCGGAACCCTCATATGTTGCTGATGGGAAAGTAAAATGGTACAGCTGCGGTGGAAAACTGGCAGTTCCTCAAAAGGTGAGTTAGAGCAATTCCACTCCTAGGTGTAGACCCAAGAAAATTAAAAACATGTGTTCACACAAAAACTTGTACACGAACGATCACAGCAGCATTATTCACAATAGCCAAAAAGCAGAAACAACCCAAATGTCCATCAGCTGATGAATGGGTAAGCAAAATGTGATTTACCCATGCAATGGGTATTCTGCCGTTCTGCCATAGAAAGGAATGCAGTACTGACACATGCTACACTGTGACATGTGTATGCCGAGTGAAAGAAGCCAGACACAAAAGACCCTATATTGTATGACTCCATTCGTATGACATGTTCAGTAAAGGCAAATCTGTAGAGACAGAAGATAGATAAATGGTTGCCTAGGGCTGGGGTGGGGGAGGAGGAATGGAGGGATGGGGAGGTGATGGCTATGGAGTGTGAAGGTTCTTTTTAGAGTGATGAAAATGTTCTAAAATTGATTTTGATGATGGTTGTGCAACATAGTGAATGGCTAAAATTCAGTGTGCTGAATTGCGCACTTGAAAAGAGTGACTTATGTGTTATGTGACTTATATATCAATAAAGCTGTTAAAAACAAAACCCCAAAACCCTCCAGTGGTTTCTGGTCACAGAAGAACAAAATCCAAACTCCTAAATAGCGTACAAGAGGAATCGGCCCCTGCCTAAGTCTATGAGCAAGGTCACTCCTCAAACACTTCCTTTCATCCTCTCGAGGCTTTCTGTTCCTCAGACACTCGGAACTTACTCCGGCCTCAGGACCTTTGCACTTGCTATTCCCTCTACCAGGACCACTCTTTCCCCAGCCCTTCACACCGCCAACTCCCTCTCATCATCTAGATTCCACTGAAATGTCACTTCCTCAGAGAGGTCCTCCCTGATCACCTCCTGTAAAGTAACTTTAGGTCCCTCTGTCATAGCCTGTTTCAACTTTCTGCACAGCACCATCTCTGTCTCTGATGGTGTTTGTGTGACTTGTTTGTCGTCTGTCTCGCCACTAGAATGCATGTCCCATGATGGCAGGGACATGGTCTGGTTTTCCCTCTGTGTCCTGGAGCCTGATGGAGGGTACAGGCTTAGACAATATTTGTGAGGCGAGATGGAGCTTGGGGCTCATTCTCCCCAGCTGACCAAGCATCCTGCACTAGCCTCACCTCCAGGACATCGAGGCTCTCCTTCACCCGGATCTTGGCTGACTTGAGATTCTCCCGCAGTTGTCTGTAGTATGTGGACGGAACAGCCAAGAACTCCACGCCTCTCTCTCTCAAGTGGCGAATCTGTCTCAGAGCAGGGTCAGGGTTAGCCTCCTTCCTCCAGGCTCAGCACCCCCAGCCAGGTGGAGGTGCTGGCCAGGAGGAGGCAGGGTCCCTATCCTAGCTCCCCGCAACGGCCAGGATGCAGTGTGACCTCATGCCCTTCCTCCCCTAGGCCTTGTGGGCCCCCCTAGGAAGAACAGGCGTTGCTACCATGTATGGAACGCTCACTCTGCCTGTCCCCAGCACTTTCAATGTGTTACCTCATTACGTCCATGTAGGCATCTTTTGAGACACCTGGACAATTATCATCCCCATTTCATAGCTGGGGAAACTGAGGCACTGAGAGGTTAAAGATCTATTTTCAACATAGCAGCCAAAGTGATTTTATTAAAATACAAGTCAAATAATGTCATCCCTCTGCTTACCCCACCGTGGTGTCCCACCTCAGAGTCACATTCAAAGCTCTCATGATAGCTCCCACCGTCTGCCCCACTCCTGGCTTCTGACCTCGTCTCCTACCCCGCTCTGCTTGCTCATTCTGCCCCAGCCACACTGACCTTCCTGCTGTTCCTTCAACCTTCCTCTGCCCTGCTGGTCCCTTCTGCCTGGAGCACTTTTCCCAGATTTCCACATCCTTCTCCTCTTTCAACTCTGCATTCTCAAGTCTCCCTCTCAGTGAGGCCATTTGTGACCGCCCTGCTTAAATACACAGTGTCCTTCACCCTCCCTCTCCCGTTGGCCTGCTTTATTTTCCTCCAGAGCACGCACCATCATCTAACACGTGTTTTCCTTATTTCACTTTCTGCCTCTGTAAGGGCAGACACTATTGCCTGATGTATCCCAAGTACCTAAAACAGTGCCTGGCACATAACGGGTGCTCATTAATCATCTACTGAGCGAATGAATGAATGAATGAATGAAGTTGCCGAGGTCACGCAGTGAATTCTTGGTTGGGCCAGGATTGAATGGGACAGTCCAGGCTATTGTCCACTCTGCCATACTCTGTCCCATAAGGAACAGGTAGCCCCAGCCTCCTCCCCACGGGCTGGGTCCACAGACTCAGGACATTTAGTTTGGCTCAAAGGACCTAGTGGATCTTGTAGCCTAGTAGCCTCATTTTCAAGATGAGGCAACTGAAGCCCAGAGAGGGGGGTGACTCCCCCAGGGACACACAGATAGTCAGTCACTTGCAGAACCGGGACTAGAATTCAGGCTTCCTGTTACTCTGGCACCTGCTACGTCTAAAGCCAAGTGTGTTCTGCAGAGACCAAGCTCTCCAGGGAGGGAATGTGCCTGCACCCGAGTGGCAGGCACCAGTAGGGGAGCCCTGTCAGCCCTCTGGGCCGGTGAAAGGGGCCCAGGACCGCACACCCCCAACCCCCTCTACTTTGCAGAGATTGCCTCTGGAGCCGAGTGGGAGGTGAGTTAGGGCCAGGAATGGGTTTCTAACCGCCGAGATGATGTCTTGGGTCTTGAGAGCGATGTGCTGGACCCCAGCACCCCCGTTATAGTCCACATATTCCTGCAGGAGGGAAACAAGGAAACTACTGTCATTGGCCCCCATCCCCCACACCCTGCCCCCACGAGAGCCCTCAAACTTCTTCCTGCTCTCTTTTTCCCAACCAGGCCCCCAGGGCCCAGGGCAGGCCCCACCTGGATCTGGGACTTCTTCCTGCCTGGTGCTGGCTCATTAATGGGCATCTTGATGGACTCCTCATAATTGGCCACCACGATGGAACGCAGAGAGCTGTATTCTGTGTGCACCTGCGTGTCATCCACGGACCAGAAACGGTGGAACTGCAGGTTCCTCAGGTACCTGCAGGGTGGCCGGAGGGACACGTCGGCTCTGAGTGCCAGCTGAGGACTGGCTCCCCGCCCCTATTTCCACCTTCTAGAATTTGTTCCCTGAGCAGGCGCCATAAAGGAACCACCATTCACATCATATGTGTCACAGATTTGTACCTTTATTGTGACAATTTTCCTGCAGGTGGAAGTAAAGTGTCTAGTAACAACATCCGTAGTATGGCAGCCTGCTAGCACTCCAGGATGGGAGGGCTTCGAGAAGGGTCTCTGCATCTGATTTGCACAAGGGTGCTGTTTGGGCGGTGACAGTCTTCCTCCAAGCTTCCTGGACTTTGAGAGCCCCCGTGCCGATTCTCTCAGGTTCCTCAGAGGGAGGACCTGTGGATCACTTTGGGCCTTACACCCTCTGTGGTCTCCATGGTGACAGCTTTACAGGGAGCAGATGAATTGGTGACCTCAGGCTAACTTCCCTCCACCTTGCTCTTTATTTCCCAACAAGAAGTGGGGCGTGGGCCTGTCCACTGTGAGGGCCTGTCACCTTTGTGGGAAGGGCTTAGGCCGGGGACTCACCATTCCGAGGCCGACTCCATCTCCTGATCAGGCTGGTTTCCCACGATGTGATCGATTATCTCAAGACTGCAGTTGGGCCTGGGAGAGGGATGGGTGGGGGTGAGGACAAGGCTACACCCTGAACCCCCCCCCCCCGGCCCACTGGCCCCTCAACAACAATAATAGCTCACACGTATGTAGCACTTACTATGGGCACTCTATTTTTGTCACCTCACACACAATTACTAGCCCCTTTTTACAGATGAAGAAACTGAGGCATAGAGGAATAAAGTAACTTGCTGAGGTTAAATAGCTACTACGTGACAGAGCTGGGATTTGAACCCAGGCAGCCTGATTCTAGAGCCTATGCTCTTAGCCTCTATGCCGCCTCTTCAAGCCACGCTTGGGGACCCTCAAGAGCTCCCAGGCAGGCGCCCAATGCTCTGCCCCCTCAGAGAAGCCCGTCTGCATCGAGGAGAGAGGCACTCACAGCTTGGAGAGCACAGGGTCCCTGAATATTGGGGCCTCGAATCCAGGCAAGAACCGGCCGGTGTAGTTCATCTTCTCCACCAGGGTGTGTGTCGTGTCCCCGTACTGTGGGCGGAAACAGCCTGGCTCGGCCCCTGTGCTCCCATCCCCGCTGAGGCCAGGCCGTGCATCACGGCGCCGGCACAGCCCTGGGTTCCAACCCAGGTGGGGCCCTAACTCGGTGTGTGATCTGGGGCAAGTTACTCCCCTTTCTGAAATGAACTGCAATCTGTCATTTGTTTGGGAATTTCTTTGACAGTCTGTCTGCCCCACAGGACCGGACGCTCTGTGAGGACAGGGATGCTGCTTTGCTCGTCATGGTGTCCCCAGCACCCAGGGCAGTGCCTGGCTCATAGTAGGTGCTCAATAAAAATGTGTGGACTAAATGAAGGATGGATGAGGGCATTGCATCAATTATACCAAAGGGCTCTTTCAGTCATCTTAACAGTCTTTAAGTTATATTTAATCTTGAGGAGGTAGGGCCTATGACTCTCTGTGGATGACAGTAATAGAGGCCAGATAGACCTGGTAACCTTTGCTGTGTGTCTACGATATGCCGGGCCCTGTTGTTCTAAGGGCTGTACATGAATGGTCTCACGTGATCCTCGCAACAGCCCTAGGTTAGAGCTGAAGACACTGAGGAACAGGAAGGTTAAGGAGTGTGGGTTAGGGTCCAGCTCCAGTCCCTGCTCATTTAAACGGAGTCGCAGAGACGTGAAGAGATTTGCCCAGAGTCACACAGCTAGTGCGGGATGGGGCTTCCCCAGACCCCACCCTTCCCCTTTCTTCAGACCCCCTGCCTGCACCTTACACCCTGTGCTGTCACCCCTGCTGGGGAGGAAAGGAAGCCCCAGGGGTGACCGGTAGCTCTCACCAGCCTCTGCACACTGGCCAAGACTTACAGGTGGTCAGACTTGAGGGAGACTGTCTGTGCTTTGAGGCACGAGGGTAGGGTGACATAATGGAGTTGGGGGCTGCCGAGAGGGGGGATCTGGGCATCTCAGTGGGTGCTGACAACAGGAGGGGTGGGGCACCCAAGTTAACTTACCGTTTGCAGCACAGCAAGCTTCACCTTCCCAAACTTATCTTGCTCAACCCAGGGCTCCCGCACTATTTTGGCACCCCGTTCCCGGGCTTTCTGCAGAGGAGATGGGGTAGGGGAGGCTGTCAGCGCTGGACCCTCCCGGAGCTCCTGCTGGGTCGCCTCTGCATGGTCCCGCGGCAGCCTCCTCCAGTTTTCCCTGCCCCAGGCAGGAACCCCAGCTCCTTTAGTTGTCACCCCAATACCTGTGCTTCATGCCCATTTGGCAGATAGGGAAACTGAGGCCCAGGCCCAGAGTTAGGGCTATGGGAGACAAACCAGGTGGGAGCGGGGGTCTGTCCTGCCTTGCTAACTCACTCTGTGGTCCTTCCCCCTCTCCAGTCCTCAGTTTCCTCATCTGTAAAAAGGGTGGTTGGATAAGAAGAATACAAGCTGCATTTATTGAGTACCTACTGTGTGTCAGACCCTCTGCCAAGTGCCTCACACGCATGATTCATGCATTTATTTAGAAAAACCTTACTTACTACATGTCTATTGTTATCACATGTCAGGCCCTGTTGTAGGTGTTAAGCTCTTTAATCCTCATGGCAACAGTATACGAAAGGCACTATTATCAGCTCCATTTTACAGGTGAGGAAAGTGAGGCACAGAGAAGTTAAGTCACTTGCCCAGTGTCACACAGCTAATAAGATTCAGACCCAGGCGGTCTGCCTCTGGAATCTGCGCTCTGAACCTCTAAACTGCCTCTTGAGTACAATGTTGGGTTCAGAGTCGTGCTCAAGAAATGGTAATTATGATCTCATTTCCTCTTGGTCACAACTCAGCGCGATAGGTGCTGTGGTTATCCCCATTTTGCAGATGTGGAAACAGGCTCAGAGAGAGGAACTCACAGTGAGTAAGGGGCAGGGCACCCTGGAACTCAGGTGTGTGTCACATCAGTGTCTGGGCTCATCACTGTGACATGGCAGTGTCCCTCCAGCCCTGACTTATAGGGGTCCCAACAGCAGACAGAGGGCAGGCCAAGCCTTATTGCTTCATCTCTGTGCCAGACCAGGTGCGGTCTCACCTGCATGATGTAGTCACAATCTTCCACCTCAAAGGCGATATCCTTCACTCCGTCGCCATGTTTCACCAGGTGATCGCCCATCTCTGTGGCCAGCAGGGGAGGTGGGTGGCACTGGAGTCATGGCCCCCTCACCTGTGCTCTCAGCCTTCTGGGCTCCATCTCCTTCTCAGCTGAGACCCCCTCTCTGAACCCCAACCCCACCGACAGTACCATGTCTCCACCTCCTGCCACCCCAAACCCCCCGGGGCCCCCTCACCTTTGTTCCAGGGGTTGAGGGCGGAGGAGAAGACAAATATAATCTGAAAAATAGAGAAGAAGGGAGGTGAGCTGGTGGCTCAGATGAGTGCGCCTCCATCCTCTCCTCCCTGCCCACCAGTGAGATACCCCTGGAGGGGCATTAGGACCAGATTACCCCTCCCAGCCAGGCAGGACTCCTTGTCCCTGGGTTCCAGTCCCTTCTCTGCCTTAGCTTCCCACCCTGGTCCTGAGGGATGGGGGCTTCTCGCGTGCCAGACCCGCCTGGAGTCCTGAGACAAGCTGCTGGGTCAGGCGTCCCCATGGGGGAGAGCCCCGGGAGTCCCATGGACCAGGGCACTGCTCAGACTTCCAGCTCTGACATCGAGGCCTCTGCCAGCTTTTCCTGAATGTCTGTGAGGCCAGCACCGGGCCAGGCCAAGAAGGAGACAAAACTAAGAAGGTCCCTAGTGCGTGTTGTACAAAGGTGCCGGGTGGAGGGGCCAGCCCGTGCTCCCCTAGCCACGCCAGGCATCCTGGAAGAGGATTGGGCCTGCCTGGAGAAAGGGGCCTTCCGGTCTACTTCACCCAGAGGTGCCAGGGCCCTCAGGGAGCTCAGAGACCAGCAGGGGGAGAGAGGCTGGCCTCCTGGGTGAGTGGGAGTCCTGGGGCAGGGACTCACCTTCTCTTGCTTGATCACGTGGCTGACCACCTCCCGGGAACCGGTCTCCAGGCCCTTGTAGGCTAGTGGTTCGAAGCCCATCTTATTGCAGTAGAATGATGCAGCCTGAATCACAGAGTTGCAACCAGATTCACAAGGGTTGAAGGGCCAGCCTTGGGGGTCCCCAGCTGAGAGCCTCTAGACCCCTCAGCCTGTTTGCCCTGTTGCTCCAGGTGCAGAGTTCTTCCTGGGAAGAAAGGCTGCTCGCTGGCCCATTCTGACCTCGGGTAAGTTTCCTGCTGGGGTCTGATTGTGTACACAGGATCCAAAGAGTGTCTGTCCTTTCTGATACTGGCCCTGATCCTCCCCTCCCAGGGGCCAATCACAGACCCGGCTGGAGGGCTGCCCTGTCCAGGAGGTTCTCCCGCCTGCCCTCTGTCCACTCCAAGACCTTGCACCACTTTCTACCTGCTTGGCGTTGCCAACCCAGAAGGTCACGGAGTGGAAGTGGAGGAATCGGCCTCTCTCAGGCTGCAGAAGGAGAGAAGGGGTGAGGCTGAGTCCCTAGAAGTGGGTCTAGAAAAGTGCAGCTGGGGAGGTGTCCCCTAGCCGCCTCCCTTGTCACAGGCTCAATCCCAGAAGCAGGGAGACACCAAACCCCCCACAGCCTTGCCAAACCTCAAAAGAGGTTTCTCATGTAGAAATTGAGCTCCTGGGGGTTCAGGATTGGGGAGCTCCCTCAGGAGGCGTGCCCAGGTTTCACAAAGGGAAACAGCATTATGCTACAGCAACAAAGATTTAAGTTAGACCTTAGAAAGAACTTCCAGACAGGCTTAAGAGATTAGTAGGAATTTAAGAAGAGGTCAAAGTTTTTCTTAGGCAGGCAAGGTTGAGTCCAGCTCCTTCTGGGGGGGCCAGAGATGAACTTGAGTGTGCATATCATGGACATCACATATCCATTGTAGTTATTCCTCTCCTGCTCTTTGCTGGCATCCCAGTCTCTCAGGACTCTGACCCCCTTCCAGACCCAGACCCCACATTTCCCCTCCTGCTCACCTTTTCTCCTTTGTTGCTGTAAGTCGTCTAAGGAGAAAGAAAAGGACAGTAAGACTTGGAAGCTCGGACACAAGGTATTTCTGGAAGTCTCACTGCAGATGGTACCACTGGAGGAAGGCTGCCATGGCTCCAGGCAGGCACTTACCATGGTTGATCTTGGTCAGACTTCCTACTGGAAGATTGGGACAAGAGGCTGGCAGAGTGCTGGACACAAATATTTAACACCGAGCAGGTCCTGCCCCTGGCCCCCTGGCCTTCCTGGGGGTGGGAGCTGATCCCAACCCTGGACGCTCCCAGGCCTGGGGGCCTCTAATCCAGCCACGGCCTCATTGGACAGGGCGATGCTGTCAGGCCCAGAATGGGGAGTGACTCCCCCAAGGCCACTAGCCAGTGGGGGGCAGGGCCAGGGCAAGAAGCCAAGGGCATGCTCTTTCCAGTATCCCCGGCTGAGACTGCGATCTCTGCCCTCCAGAATCCAAAGCTCAGAAGCCAAGGGCAGCCTGAGTGCAGTGGTGGCTCCGGAATTCTTATTTAGGGAGAATTTGTAGGGAGATTAGGGACTAGTCTTGAAGCCCTGTTTGCATAGCAAGTGTGTGGTTTATATTTAGATAAAAGGTTTGTATTCCATAGTGGTGAGAGGCATGGGCGTGGGAGTTTGAGTCCTGGATCTGCTACATACTATGTGAGTGGGGAAAGTCACGGCACCCATTTGAACCTCAATCTCCCCATCCATAAAATGGAAGCAATAATAGTGGGATGGCGATTAAATGAGATTAAGCATAAGTCTTTGAAATAGAGCCTTAGACACAGTGAGATCTCTGTTAATGTTAGCTATGATTACTTATGTTTCTTTGGGGTTTTGGGGGGCTGATGGAGAATAGGGGGCCTTGACGTCGTCACAGCCTGAGTATCAGGAAAGAGGTTATGGCCCTGCCCCAGCTTCTCAGTATCTCCAGAGTGGTGGGAAGGTGGAGCCGATGGTTCTGGGAAGAGGAAGGCCAGGGCTCTCCCCAGCATCCCCACACCTGAGTCCTCAGGTCTCACTTTCCTGGAAGATGGAGTGGTGACTGCTGGTCAGCCATGGCATTTACCTGAGGGCTCCTGGACAGCCCCCTGCCTCTAGCTTCACTCCAGTCCTCAGGAACTTCATTGCTGAGCCATCTTGCCCCCTTCCCAGGGAACTGACTTTATCAACCAGCCTCATTGCCTGGAAACTCTTTTTCCAGCCTCTGATGCTGACAGTCTTAGCCCATGACTGTGCTACGGGTACCCCCTACCCTCTCGCATTTTGGCTCCCCAAATGTCTAGCATCAGGCTTTTTTTTCTTTTTTTTTTCTGCTGAGGAAATTCACCCCAAGCTAACAACTGTTGCCAATCTTCCTCATTTTTTGCTTGAGGAAGATTCACCCTAAGCTAGCATCTGTGCCAGTCTCCCTCTGTTGTGTGTGTGGGTTGCCACTGCAGCGTGGCTGATAAGTGGTGTGGATCCGCATCCGGGATCCGAACCCGTGAACCCAGGCCACCCAAGCAGAGTGAGCTGAACTTAAGCAGTATGCCACGGGGCCAGCCCCAGCCTTTTTTTTTTTTTTTTTTTTAATACAGAAAAACAGATCATCATGGCTAGTAATGACCTCAAAGAGCATTCGGTCCAACATTCCCATTTTTCAGATGAGAAAAACTGACAAACAGCAAGAAAGTGCCTGAGACTACTTCTCTCTTTCCTTCCTTCCTCCCTCCCATGTCTCTCCCTCCCCACCAGGGAGCAGAGCCAGGCTCTACCAGGAAGGACCCCTCCCCTACCTTCCTCAGCGTGCCAGGCCCCCTGGGCCTCTCTCAAGTTTCCACCTTCTCCAAGAAGCCCTCTCAGAACTCTCCAGCCCCAGGTCTGAGGTTGAGTTAAGCCCTGCCTGTCAGCTTTAGCCAGGAATGCAGGGAGTGGGGCCCTGGATGGTTGGAGACCTTTTCTAGGCCATGTTGTTAGCGAGTGGCAGAGTAGGACAAGAACGTGAACCAAGTTATTCTGACTATAGAGCCCACACCTTTTACTGCTGCATTGCCTTGTACACAAATAGGAGATATTGATATTCCCACTGGACTGGTGGGGAAACTGAGGCCCAGATTGGCGAACATATGTCTGAGAGGTCGCAGATCTGGTAAGAACAGAGATCCAAACTCTGACCTATTTGCTTCTGAAGTTGGATCTCATTCCACCAGTCCAGACACTTTCTCCCTTCTTTTCTCTGTTTTCAGGGCAAATCTGGAGGCAAGCGAGGTGGTCCCACCTCCTTATTCTGCCCCTTCTGGGGTGCCTTGCCCACCCCAGCTCCTTGGGTCTAGGTTTCCAATTGAGAAAACCAGAGTGGAGGCAGCCCAGAGTGGACCTCACAGGCCAGGAAGTTCCACCAGGGGAGAAGGGCTCAGTGCAGCCCTCCCATCCCCCTAGGTGAGGAGGAACATCTTGCCTCTTGCTTGCAGTGGCCAACTCAAATCTTCGCTCCCAGAGCCTGGCCTGGTTTGTGTCCTAGGCACAAAGTCAATGTTTACTGAATCAAGAAAGCATGTCGACAGCAGCCTCGGGGTGCTGAGGGCCGGTGTCTGGCTCAGCTGGGCAGGGCTGGTGGCTCTGTCCCTTCTACCCTCTGGACTTTGCTTCCAGAAACACTCTGGGTCTCAGTCACAGTCTGGATACACCCCTAGGTAGCTCTCCCAACTGCAGGCAGAGACTGGGGAGGGGGAACCTGCAGGGTCCAGTCTCTGGAGCCCCTGTGTCCCCTCCCAGATGCTCAGTCTCAGGCTGGGCCCAGTTGGATAACAGGTTAGCAATGGCTGGGTATGGCTGTCTCTGCTCTTTGTTCCTGACTTGTTACTTTCTGCCCCACTTGAGCTACAAGCTAGGTTTCAGAGGCCTTGCTCACGGAGCTCACTATTCAGATGGGCTCATAGGACATCCTCCACTGTCCCTTGGTGTGCAGACAACAGTAAACACTGCAGGCTTGAGCCTTGGTTGGCACTGAGGAACTTGAATTTTAGGAAGTTTCCTGCCATTCCCAGAAATGACGAGAGTGGCTCACTGGGCCTAAACTATTTGTACAAGCAATGTGGTTTATGCTGAACACCTGGGAGTCTGCGATTTGGGTACATGCTATGCGGCAGGTACCTACAATAAAAACCCTGGAGTCTTAGGCTCAGGCAAGCTTCCCTGGTAGACAGCGTTTCACAATCCCTCGCCAGAGGAATGTAGTGCATCCCGTGTGACCCCACTGGGAGAAGACTCTGGGCAGCTTGCACCTGGTTCCCTTTGGACTTCACTTATGCACCTTTTCCCTGGGCTGATTTTGCTGTCTCCTTTTGCTGTAATACATCTGAGCAGTAAGAATGACTATATGCTGGGCCCAGTGAGTCCTCCGAGCACTCGGTACCTGCCCAGGGGCCATGGGGCAGTCTGCATGGCCTCCTGGAATGGGTGACAAGCCTTAGATGCCTGGGTGGCTGTGGAGCTGCCCATGTGTGAGACGGCAGCATGAGCAGGGGCTGAATCTCTTGTGAGAGGTCAGAATTACCTCTGGGGTTTAACACGGAGAGATGGACCCCAGAAGCCACGACTAGCTGGGTGTCTTGGCCTCTCTTGGCTGCTCTGGCTAAAACAACGGGGAAAGCCCAGCGTGGGTGATACCTTTGGTTTTTGTTCTCTGAAGGTGGGAGGAGAAAGGGCCCAAACATCCCCAAAGGTGAACTTTGGGTGGACTTAAAATGTTGAAAGTTTGCATTATTCTCTCTTCCAAGTGGGAGGAAAAATGTTTTAAATTAGTTCCTAGGGCTGGCGCAAAGCTGTAGATAAACCAGAGGGGGGATAATGAGGGGATGCTGCAGCAGTCCCCCCACCCCCAAAAGCTGAATTTACTTCTAGGAGTTTAAGGCAACGTGCAATGAAAATAAAGGGGGAGGAATTTTTTTTTAATGGTTTTGTATTTTATAGTTATTACATCTGGATGTATGATGAAAATTGATGTAAAATATTATATGCTTGTAATTTCATAAGTGCTAGAGAAGTCATCACATCAGGGCAAGCTGCAGAAAAAAGTATCATTGGAACACAACTTTCTTGCATTTGCCACGTGGGCACCTTGGAATTTGAATTCTTTGAGTATTGAAAACAGAACAAGTCTTGGTAACTTATGATTTTTGCCTATTGGACCCTTCTGGAAACAAAAGGGAGACAGCATTTAAAAGAGAGGCCATCTCCAGATGGAGATACACTTTTGACGTTTGAAAAAGCAGTTTGTAGTTGCTAATGAGCTCCTGTGAAATCACATATCCAGCCTTTAGAGATGATTTTCCAGCTGATGTGCATATTTTTGAGGGGGTCAACTTGGACTCTAGGACTAACACGACGAAAAGGCCTCAGGAAAGCCTTGACCGTCTCTTGAACTTGGGACACGGCTGTCTGGCTTGGCTGCAGCATCTCAGCTTTGCTTCGGCACAGGAAAAGCTGCTGGCTCTTTGTTTCCTGGCTTTATCGAGGAATAACTGACAAAAATGGTCTATATTTAAGGTGTACAAGGTGATGTTTTGATATATGTATACATTATGAAATGTTGACTACAATCAAGCTAATGAACATATCCGTCACCTCACACAGTTACCTTTTTTTGTCGCTGACTCTTTTGGAATCCTGAATTCACAAATCCCAATTGCCCGGACCGGACTCGAAGCGAAATCTGCCGCTGTCTTCTACGAGCGGTCTCAGCCTTTGCACGAGCTAAACTTGGGTGAAATCGCTCCACTCAATGAACAGGGCTGCGATCTAGGACTGTGGCAGATTTGGGACACCTCTCTGTGGGACCATATGCCGTGAAAACATCGTAAATGCTACTGGACCGTCTGGGTGCTTAGAGATATCCGTGATGATAGGACCATTTAAACCAGCTGCTGATCAGCTCTCCAATTCTGGTGCAGACTGACTGCATTCCTAACTGTGAGTCCTGCCCAGAGCAGCAAGTTGGGTGAGGGCCCGGCACAGGG